TTTTTTTTTTTTTTTTAAGTGCCTAGTAGTAATATCCTAAGTGCCTAGTAGTCATATCATATCGAATCTAACTGCCGGGTGCGGGAGAGACACGCACCGTCCTGAAAGACTCGTTCCACGTTCAGCCCATAGGTGGCGCACGTCTCGTAGTAGGAGCAGTGCTTGAGATCGGATGCCAGCTTGCGCGCCCGGCTGTCGTCAATGACTCGTGGGTTGTTCTCGCTGATCGCGTCTGCAACGACACAAGAGCATTCGTACGTGTTTGCAACCAACACAAGAGCATTCGGTTGTGTCTGCCACAACACAAGAGCATTCACATGCATCTGCCACGAGAAGGTTCGTCTATATCTTCTACGACACAAGAGCACACGTACGCGGTTATAACCAACACAAGAACATTCGTACGCGGCTGTAACCAACACAAGAGCATTCACACGCGTCTACCACAACATAAGAGTATCCGTGCTCATCTGCAACAACACAAGAGCATCTGTACGCGGCACTGCTGGCATCCTGACGTCGGCAAATCGACGACACTGGTGGCGCCCCCGCGTTATCAACGACGCTATCGTTTGTCGGTCGAACCGTATCGGCCGCGGCAACGATAACGGACGAAAACACAGAGGACTTTACACTGTGGCGACGCACGGCTGTGTGTGTATAGCATTCAGTTTAATTCAATGATAGTACAGTCTTAGTACTTTCTAGTTTACTGTGGACTTTCTTACCGACCGGGCCACCCTTAAAAAATTGTTTGTTTCCCCTTTACCTACTCGCCTCTCAGGATACCGAGTAGGTAGGTAGGTGAAAAATCTTTTTTATTTTGTTTTGACAAGATGTGTGTATGTATATTGTATATTCTGTATTGTGTACAATAATTGTGTTTTAATCGGCCAATAAAATGTGTCGAGTAGCGGCGTTTTGGCGAGTCGGTCGGTAAAGAGGAAGCAAGCAATATTTTATCTTAGGCCCCGTGAATAGGCAAAGCGCTATCCGGTAAGTACATAGAGATCAGTGGTTCTCACAGATTGGTACTGTCTAGTCTACTGTCTTGAGAGTAACAGGACTGTACCTGCAAGGAAACTGTGCGCAGCATCCCACCCTGACCCAAGATGCTGAAGAAGGAAGCTGGGAGGATGTTGATAGAAGATGCTGAGGGAGGGATGCTGGTAGGATGCTGAGGTAGGGATGCTGAGAAGAGATGAAGAGGGATTCTGAGCGAAGATGCCGAGAAAGAAATGCTGAGAGAAGATATTCAGGGAGGGATGCTGGAAAGAAGCTGAGGAAGGGAAGATGAGAGAAGATGCTGAAGAAGGGAAGCTGAGGATCGGATGCTGGGAGAATGCTGATAGAAAGATGCTGAGGGAGGGATGCTGGCTGATAGAGGGAAACAGAGGATCAGATGCTGAGAAAGGGAAGCTGAGAAAGGGAAGCTGAGGAAGGGATGCTGATGAAGGGAAGCTGAGGAAGAGAAGCTGAGGAAAGGAAGCTGAGGAAGGGAAGCTGAGAAAGGTGAGCTGAGGAAGGGATGCTGAGGAAAGGAAGCTGAGGAAGGGAAGCTGAGGAAGGGAAGCTGAGGAAGGGAAGCTGAGGAAGGGAAGCTGAGGAAGGGAAGCTGAGGAAGGGAAGCTGAGGAAGGGATGCTGAGGGAGGGATGCTGGCTGATAGAGGGAAGCTGAGGATCAGATGCTGATAGAAGATGCTGAGTGAGGGAAGCTGAGGGAGGGAAGCTGAGGAAGGGAAGCTGAGGAAGGGAAGCTGAGGAAGGGATGCTCACCCTGCGTCCCGACGAGGATCATCGGGATCTCGGCCGTGCTGCGGTAGTGCGCCATCTTCGCAAAGTACTGGTAGACGCCGTTGAAGCTGGCTTCATTCTCAAGGCTGAAGACGAATATCACCGCATCCACCCAGGCTGTGAACTACAGAGACACAGCGAGAGATATATAAGATGGCTTCGATACAGTGAACGACACAGGCAGAAAGAGAAAGTGAAAGAGAGAGAGAGAGAGAGAGAGAGAGAGAGA